AATGCGTCTATCTCATATATTAGTTTCCCCTTTTACGTTGCATTACTGAAATAAATTAACTTTTGCACGATATTCTAATTTTTCGAGTATCACTTGTAAAACGGTAACAAATTTAGGCTGGAAGAAAGGAGATTTAGTCTAAGGCAAAGGAAAGAGTTTTTTTTTACCGTAAGAACAATAAGAATATGGAATTGTCTGCCTAAAGAGGTGGTCTTATAAGAGTCTATACAGATTTTCGAACAACAATTAGATAAAGATAAGGAAAAAAGAAGAGAACACCCAGAGAAACCATTTAGAAAGTAAACCCTTGGTGACAGAGAGAAACCCCAAAAATTGAATAAAACTTTACTTTTAATAAATTTTTTAAAATATCTGATCATGAATAAAATAAATATCCACAAAAATAGGAATAAGGAAAACCTGGAGAGATTAATTGGTCCTGGAGAGGACTATATACATTAATCTAGGTTCCAATTCCCTGTTTAGCAAAATAAAGGGGGTAAATCTAAACCAATATAGTAATTGTGAGGATAAATAAAGATAAGAATAAATATGTATATCAAATCTAAGATATGTGTACACACAACAAAAAAGCAACCGATTTATACACATAGAGAAAGATTGGTTTTACACCATGCAAACGTTATATATAACCTAAATGTAACAAAATGTAACATATAAATGCTACATTTGTATCATATCATATTTGCCCGGAGGAGAGCTGTGTAGTGTATCAGTAAAGGAAGAGAACGGCAATCGTATCCTGCAGTTAATGAAATTCACTACTCTGTTGTGCCATCGAGGGCACCCCTTAAAAAATTCTAAATGCCCTCCTTATTAGCTATTGTGCTAATAAGGGTAGTAGCGTGTCATTTAACGGGCAGGATTATACCACTGAGGCCTGTACGATTGCCAGGCCAGCTCGGGGCTATTAGGTACGGGCTGTGTGCTGTGATGAGTAGTTCTACTAAGGGGGGGGCATGGTTGTGTCATGGCTTGAGTTAACTAAAATAAAAGGCAACAGGC